TTACACCCCTAGTATACATACAATGACAACAAATAAGCCAACTCAAAAATGAGCTACAAACCGCTAACTGTCAGCCCTTTGCCACTCGAAGGGCAGAATCCACTCCACTGACAAAAATACAACATTACACCCGTTTACAGCTTCAACAATGACACAAAATCAAAACAGACCATCTCTTTTATAATACTCAACAAATGAGAAACATTATCATTAGCCCGCTAGTCTATAAACAAACAAACACTTGATAAGAGCCCGTGAAGAGAGCAGCCAAAGCCGCTTCAGAAGAGATTACAGCATAAAAGCTTCTATGACAATCATTCTCACATTCTTTATGATATAATCCTTTTCTTTTCTCTGCCCCTTTATAGCGATAAAGGGATTAACAAATGAGGAATTATGCGTTACAGTATTTTAATCTCAAGGGAGGCGAGGTTACAGAGGACACAGAAAAAAAACAAGTACAGTAACGCTAACATTTCAATAAAAAAAAAAACAGCGCTGGTAAAATAGATTTGCTGATGTCCATGAAAAGAGCAGCAACGTGGTAGATTAGATTTATTTGTACCTCTGCATTTGATTGACAGTGTATTTATATCCACAATAGAGAAGGACCTGGGCATAAAGTTTCTGCAATCTCTTTTTTAGGTTTAAAAGTTCTAGAGTGACAAGACGGATAATCTCTAATCACTTTGGCAAGGTAAGATAGTGTACTATGGGATTTTGAAGTGCCTGTTGTAAACCTCTGCAAATTGAGACTCAAATTGGACAAATAGTGAGTTCAAAGAGAACAAATCTCTTGATATTCTATTTGAGCACGGCTTTACAGACACATTTTGATCATGTGAAAGGAGAAGGGGACAATGCAATGAATTTAATTTGCTCCGAGTTTAAACATCACTTATGTGTTTTAGACAACAAATATAATGTAAAGACTGATGCCTTAAACATAAAAGCACTTCAAGCCATAACAAATCTGAAAGAATATGAATATTTAGCATCACATCCTCTGCATATTATTTTCAGAAAAAATAAACACTCAAGCATGCAATCAAACTTAAACAGCCTTGAGTCATTGTAATAAACTTTTACGATTTTACACAAATACTCTAGAATGTATTACAGTGTTACAGGTCATTTGTTTGCCATAAGTGACAATGAATAAAGCTGTGATGGGGGAAAGGGTATTACTGAACCGACCTCATCTCTGAGATCCTAATGCCCCTGGGCTTTGTGACTAGTTCTCTATTGAGAGTTCAACTTCATAACCCACTTTTCCAGCTACAGATCTGTTCTTAGTCTTCATCTCAATCTATTCAACTCATGAGCCAATAAAGAAAAATCATTTGAACTGGGTGGATAATTTTTAGCCATCAAATCTACAATCTATCCTTTTACAGACACCCTTAGATACATTTTTAAACTGAAAACAGATAAGCAGAGTTACTGAGAAAAGGAGTAACTAGTTTAATCCGCCTGTCAAACATAAAATTATAAAGTAAAATCCATCATGATCAACAGAGTATGAATATTCCTACACAACAAATAATTGATCGACTATAACCGAGTAAACCTTACCTCCCAGATCATCACTATTACACAGTAACAATTTCACTTCATTTAAAAACAAAATGAATAAATCATAATTCCTAAAACAAAATGCATTATTATTCTGAAATTAACCACATTTTCTGTCATCAATTCATATCTGTTCAATACACTCCAATTTAAATATGAATGTTTGTTCTGCAAGCATCAAAATCTTATTTTACTGTTTGGATTTGGCTAAATAACAATTATTTGATCAGATCAATAACAAACTGAATTGTTCCTAACAAACTAGATAATTAAAATATCAGGCTTGCCACCACACATAAGCACAGCAACAAGATATGACAAAAGAAAATAGAAAATATTTCTAAACCTCTCCTGGTAGTTAAGAAACCAAATGAACAAATTCACAAAAATAGTCACTTCAGTGACAAGAACATGAATTAAAGAGTTGTGGTTAATTATTGTCAAGCACAGCAATAAAATCAAGTTATTAAAGCATATCTAAATTGTGAGCACATTTAAATATACATTATTTGGACAACATTTCAGAATAATTTTAAAATAGTCATTACATGCTTAAAACATCATCAATGCACTGTAAATGTATCATTTTAAACGGATTATAATTATATACAAAATATATTTATATTTTAGAAGAATGAGAAGCACATTTGAAACTATTCACAGTAATAAATGTCATCTGTTACATACATGCAGCTCTGCACTATATTTTTTCATGCTTCCACTCCCTTATTGCAAATACACAGGACTCCATAATAAAACATCACATGAAAACAGGGAGAATCCTGAAAGGAGCACAGGCTGTTCAGTAAAGCACTGCTTAATGTAAGCCAAAATGTAAGAATCTAAAAGTAACATACAGCAAGGGAAACTGCAGCTGCTATTCAAGACATTATGCAAACCCATAAAACCACTGCAATAGAACTTTCACAAACTGCATAAAAATACTGGGACATTTCTGTTCTAAATAGATATTCAATACCTGTTTACAAAGTTATACATTTGTTTTTAAATATGAAAACCTGTGCTACATTATTAGATTGAGTTGTTCAAATTCTATGTAAAATTTATAATTACTTTTCAGACAGCTGACTAAATGTTCAGGTACAAGGTAAAAAGTTTAAAAGCATTGCTCATGAAATTCTGATTTGTGTTTTACAGCTTGATTTGAGAAAATATAAAACACAACTGGCCACTGAAAACACAATGGATCACTGACATACAATCAAACAGTAGTTGATAACTTACAGATCAATATGCCAATTTGGCAAAAACAATACTCATTTAAAATGTAATATGTCTATTTAGACTATCTATTTTGTCATATGCTAATGTGATCATTTATATTATTGTAACATTGTTTTGGATGCTATATTTAAAATCATTTACATGTAATATTATTTATCAAAAACAGCAATGATATGACTACTTAATACAAATCACAAAAAAATCAGCTGCCTAAAAAGCATGTTTGTTTTTAATTATTTCTGTAAACTGTAAAGTCTGTTCAGCAAATGCAATATACCATAATAAACATTAAAACTAGCTCTAATTATTCACTTATGTGAGCTAATTTAGTCTCTTTAATTTTGTATTTTTAATTTAGCCTCTTCTAACAGAAACCAGTTTATCACGAGAATTTATTGTCAGCCTGTATATCATTTTCTAAAGTCTTGCAGGGAAAAAAAAGCCCACCAGTGTTAAACAACTGCCAAACAATACAACAACTGATTAATAATAGGCTACTATAATTATTAAGGCAACAACTCTGTAAACAAGCAAGTCAGGGTATGAAAAAATGTAAGAAGCAGATATATGTACGACATTGGCATCATAGCCTACACCTAAATGCCATTTTCTTTAAAGCTGTGTTAAATGCTAATGACATGAAAACGATTCAGTCGTAATTTACTTTTTTAACGAGTAGGTCTTCTCTAAGGTAATTTAACAAAAGCATGGATATATAAATTAAGCATATAAATGAAAACAGCTGTTACTAAACACACTCTTTAACGGCATTAAACACAGAATACACCAAGGATTCAGTGAAATATCGATAACGTTAACACAGGTTAATACAAATAATCACAACAGCAAAAACTAACGTATGTGCTGCGCCACTGAATATCCACGTCGCATGCGTAATGTATATTAGCAATGCTCAGTACGTATAAACTAAAATGCACTGTAAAATTACACTGACGTAAATAATAACCGAAATACCTATAATGGGACATGGGAGACTGCAGTACCATATCTAACTCTTAAAACACATTCGCGCCTTGTGTGTGAGGATTATATTCCGACATAAATGCGTCCAAATATCTCACGTGTAACCTGAGCCGCTCCAGTTCGCTTCAGATTACACTTCTCATTCTAGAAGCACTCTAGAACTGCGTTGAACGTTCTAGAACGAGCTGCACACACACGTTCTGCTCGTGCATGCTGCTTTCAGTCATGTTAGGTTGACTCTAGCAGCATGCATGTCCGCATCTTCCAAATCAAAGACTGGCCATCTTGACTGCGCACTTTATGCAACACGCTCCCCGAGTTACATGCGACCCTCTGAGGCGCCAGAGACCATATTAATATATGTTTACCGAAATAACGCTTCTACACCTTTACAGCAAAGTTATTTTTCAATTTAAGCGTTGTGAGTGACGCCTTGTCTGACAAGGAGACGCCGTACGAGGCGTGCTTTTGACATGAACTGTAAGTCTGTACATGTAATTTTACATAAACCCTTAAATCTAAAGCTTGTGGGCTGTTCTCTAGCCATTTCTATGCCGCCCTCCCGTGGAACACAAACGCAGGGCCTATAGGGGAAATCACGTGGGCCACGGAAGGGCCTAAACACGCGCCACGAGGTCATGCACAATGATCTTGCTCCTGTACAATTCAAGCTAAGAAAAAGGGCGTAATGTCAGATTTCAGATATGTTTCTATTAAAACTTAATTTACATTTACTACCTGGAGCTATTGTACGTAAAACACGGCGTGTTCTTAAAGCTTTTTTTTTTTTTGAGGGAAAATCTGCTAGATTATGCAAGGAAACACCCAATATCAATATTCTTTTCTACGCCTGATACATTTAGAGAACACTTTTACAGTTTATAACTAAGGTAAAACAGCGTATTTTGAGTCCAGGCCATATTGTGCCAGTATTAATGCTTAAGACGAACTGCAAACGAGCTCATTAACCCTGACAAGAAATGTATTAATTAAAAATACAAGTCAAATAAAATGAACAGGCAAGAAGAACATGGTATTAAAAAATAAAGGTTACGCCTGAGGGACAAGTACACAAAATAACCTTAAATTGAAATAGAATTTTCCATACACATCACAGCTTCACAAAGACAAAACACTGCACCGCCAATCATGCTTCTTTGAACTGCTAAAGCATATAAATAAAGCAAAATTATTACCTTAGTTTTTTAGGAACAGAGTAGTCGACCTCGATCACTTTCCCATGTAATTCAACTTTCCCTGCGAGCAAGAAACAACAAATGATAACAAAATTACATTCCTCCAGTGCATTGACACTGCTGAAATATGTATTTCAGCGTTTTTACTCCGATTTATAAAACAAACAACCGTGCGTGCAACGTAAATACGTGGGATACTAGCACACGTGCAAGTTCGTGCTTATAAATGCACGTCGGCGACGTAGTGAGTTTTATCATGTCTACATGTAAGGTGTAATATCTTTACCACATTTCCTATTATGCCTGATGATATTATGCGAAATGCTTGATGAGCTGATACGATATGAAGAATGGGCAGCCATGCTTTCCACTCCCACTAACCACATACGAGCAATGAGGACAGTTTGAAGAATGGGAGGTCAAAGGATACGACTCTTCTGCCTAAATTTGCCCTGTTTCTTCAAGTAGGTTTGGATGTGTACTTTTCTGTTGCATGCACAACGGCTCGCGAGCGTGAAAGAAGACTATTTAGGTGCTGTGCTGTGCATCTGTTGTGTATGAGTGGCCTGGCGCAGCACAAAAATTGGCATCTCACCTCCGTCCCCCCCAGCTACCTGTTTATTAGCACTTTCCTCCAGACCCCCATCACCCACCTTTAACACACCTCGTAAAAACATACCTGGACACCATAGGAACATGCATGTGACGCCTTCTTCTCGCTCAGGTCGCTCGCTTCTTTTCAATAAAATCAAGACAAAAAATAACTGAAAAATAATTATGCCTGCCACCCGAGCATCAGACCTATCCGATACATTCCTATGGGCCGTTGGCTGAGGAATCACCCCCGTTCAGCACCTCGGCTCGGCGAAACAAGCGTGCATTTAAGGAATTCTAGCATAAATTCAACTTATATCGCGTATTGGAAGCGAGCGCGCGCGAGTGTAATTGAGCTCGCGGCGTTCATTCGCGCATTTTGCGAAGAACTGGAGCAGCGCGCGGCTGATGCGCGAGCATTACTTTTTCTTTTCTTTTCCAAGAAAGTCTTTTACGGTGTCAGTCCAAGGTATATATATAACCGCGACTTTGCTCGACGTGAAAAAAGCACGTACCAGATAGAGTCTCGATGGCTTTAATCGCCCAGTTCTGGTCGGGGAAGTCCACGAAGGCATAGCCGGATTTGAGCAGGACCTGGTCGGTCACGGGAAGTTTCCTCTCGCCGAAGAGCTGCTTCAGGTCCTCCACGGTCACCGAAGGACTCAGATTCCCCACATAGAGTTTGTTCATGGTCTATACTAAAATATGTACGTCCAAATATATCGGCGCGTGCAATGGATTGCTCGAAATAGGTAAAATAAGGAGAAAATAAAATAGAAAAAAATAAAATAAACGTGCTGAAAATCAGCAGTCACCCCCCAGATGCAGCCGGACCCCCCTGCTACATATACACAACTCTGTTCCTGCTCAAACTCTTTTACTGGGATTGAAAAAAAGTGTCGTTGCGACGTTACTCTGTTGCCAACAAGCGCCGCCTCTAAATAAAACCGCTCTTAAATATCACAAAATCACTTTTGATGTGTTTATGGACTTAAATTGGTGTCTGGTGTTTAATTTGCCACCATAAATCACTGGATAAGGCATAATGATAAGACTCAGTAAGCAACACAGGAGGGTTAGTTCATTTAAATCCATTTACAGAGAGAGAATGTCTGTTCAAGTCAATATATATTGTAATGACAGGTCATACAGCCCTTAAGATTGTGGTAATAAACAGATGTATGCGTATTTAAATCATTTTCAAAAGCAGCTTTCATTTACATTTGTGATTGACAGCTTGATTGGCGTCTTTAGGGTGTTGTGGATTGATGGGCGTTTTCCTCTGTCCCTTGTGAGAATAACTCGTTTGTTTTATATTGGTTTACAGTCTTCGTGTTTGATTCGATATTTAATCTACGATTAATAATTGGGGCTGTAAAACTGTAAGCACAGACTCCAAAGAGAATAGCAGCTGGAAAATGGGACTTTCTCTGGGAACGCCCATGTCAATGGAAAAGAAACAGGAATGTGGAGACACCTTATGGAATTATGATTTAGGAGGCGCATGGCCGTTATATATGAATATAATGCGTGGATTCCACTGATGTAGACTGTGGTAAGAGCTTTCCAAAGAGGACTCTAATTTTTTAGCAAAATCTCAAATCATTTTTTATTCCATATGTGTGTATATGTATATATATATATATACAGTGGTGTGAAAAAGTGTTGGCCCCCTTCCTGATTTCTTATTTTTTTGCATGTTTGTCACACTTTAATGTTTCAGATCATCAAACAAATTTAAATATTAGTCAAAGATAACACAAGTAAACACAACATGCCGTTTTTAAATGAAGGTTTTTATTATTAAGGGAAAACAAAATCCAAAACTACATGGCCCTGTGTGAAGAAATCAGGAAGGGGGCCAACACTTTTTCACACCACTATATATATATCAAAATTAATAAATTATTATTGAATATCCTGATGATTTCATTCATTGCAATAATATGCTGAAAGTCAATCTGTGGGGGGATTCTAACATTAGGTCTTTTACCTGAAATTTTGTTTGCCCCCTTCTGCTGATTTCTGTATTTAGAAGACTATACATCAGGTACAGGATTGCTCTGTATTGCAGTATAATGGGGTTTTCTCCTGTGTCTCAAAAACATTATTTATCAGAGCTCCAAATCAGACCCTACATTATAGGTCTCCAAATGCAGCAGTGCCGAGTAGCAAAAGTGTTACAATAGCCTCATAACACAATCTATGACTAAACTGGGACCAGTTAATGTCAGTTTGTGCTGCTTAAAAACACCTTAAATATGTTAATGATGCTGATTTCAGAACTCCAGAAAGCCAATTAAAATCCCTCCAAGAGCCAGGTACAGTAAAAGTAAGGAATCCCAGATTGGTCAGCTAAAGCAGACACCCACACCGTGTCCAAATTAATGCTAAATCCCTGAGTACTTTAAACTACATTTTTTACACATACTGGAGAAGTATTTTAGATGATCCTATTATTAACAATATATTCTCTGAGGTAATGAGACTTAAATTGGAACAGAGCTCAGGCAATGGTGTTCTAGCGTTTCTATTCAATAAATCTATTAATTTTACTGTAGTTCAAGGCAAATGTCTTAAGAGAACATTTGTATGTATTACATAAATATGCTGTCCATAAATCTGCAGCGGAGTCACCTCAACAAGGATTTCTACATTTCTACACACAACTACAACAAGGATTTCAATCCTTTAGGTTTGAAGCACAGATTTCAATGTTTTGAGTCATTCAAGCAGAAGCTCACATCAGGTGGGAGGTATAAAGCAGTTTATTGCAAGCTTAAACTAGGCTTAAACTAAGCTTAAAACGCATAAAAACATAATGGGGTGTGAGCAGGACACTTTATCAAATAAAATAAATGCAAGTTCAGCATCGGATCGACAAAAAAGAAAAAAAAAAAATCAACTGTGCACAAATATTCAAACTACTGAAATATCCAGATCAGTCAAAGACATGTGAAACCTTTAAGCAAAAAAATCAAAGGGATTGAGTTTAAAGTACATCCAAACTCATGCCACCAGAAATAAACATCTACGTCAACAAGAATGTCATCAACATCATCTTCAGGGATGGCGAGAGGAGTCAAACTTCACTTCAGTAATGACCTGTAAAAACAAATAAAGGTTTACTTAATACTTGGTTTTATTTATTTATTTATTTTGCAAACATTCGTCACAAATTACCAGAGCATGTGCACTGTGTTGAGATTAAGCACTCTTGAAACATAAAGCCAGGGAGACAATAGAAGTAAAGTTTACTGTGGTAGCGTTTGTGCAGTACTTACGAGGGGAGTAGGAGCGAGAGCGTGATCTTGACCTGTACGGTCCTCGGCCGTAGTAAGGAGAGGGGGATCTTCTCCTGTGAACAGAAAGCGGAGATTTAATGGAAACCGCCGCATCTACAGATCGTAACAAAGTGACATTCAAAACTGTAGCATAGCAAGCCATTTTAAAAGGTAAAAGGCATATAGCACATGCTTCATGTGAAAAAATATCTTGCAATGTGTACTGATGTAGTATGCAGTCTGTGGGACCACGGCTCAACAGTAAGAATAAGAGGATGTCCTGGGGCAAGTGTGTGAGTGTTTCAGACCAGTTGAATCAACTGTCACTTGCCTTATTTAACCAGTGGTGCTCATCAACTCTACATTTAACCTTCATTGATCTCATACAATTTTTGTTTTTCTAAAATCTACTGAATATAATTTCTGCTCATGTAAATGTAATCATTGTATTGTTATTTAGCTTTCTAACAGAGAGTAGCATGTTCAAAAAATATGATTTGTGGTATTCCTGTAAGCACTCACTAATTATAAACTGATTTATAAAAACAAATAATATAAAAAATATTTTACCAGAAGAAGTTATGGAATTATAGCTGCATAGCATTTAGATATTACTGATAATTAAAAACCTTAAAGAGCAGGTCATATGGGTTTTTGAAAAATATCTCTTTTGCAGTTTATAACGTAGCTATCCTTCAATGAAAACAATCTACAAAGTTGTTAATCAAAAGTGCATGATAAATAAAGATATTGTCTCTCAAAAGAGAGAGTCGATTCTGAATCGCCTTAACGGGTCGTCATATTTTCGAATATTTTGCCTGTTACCGGTATACTTCACTGGATAACACATTTGCATAATCCCCGCCTGCCCACAAAATACGAACAAGAGTCTGACCTGCCCACAAATACTTCCGCTAGTTAGTGTGTTTACATCATGTTGAGAAGACGCTGTGTTCAAGGATACCACAGAAACACAATTCGAACCTTTTGGTGTGTGCTTGTCATTTTACCGAGGACTGCTTCTCTAATCTTGGCTTTTATCTTCTTGGCTTCTAATCTTCTTAATTTGGACTAACAAGCTCTCTGAACCACAACTTGTAAGTACGATACGTTATGTGTACATTTTCAATTGAGTGCTCAAAATATCACGTTCTTTGTTCTAATAATTACTTCGTTTAATAATAAATAATGTAGTGTACCGCACAGACTTTATAATCATTGTGAAATTGCTGTTTATTTTGCTGCACCGGCAGTTATAGGGTTAATGTGGGAGAGACGAGCGAGTTAGTAATTCAGTGATTTTTTACTAACTCAAAAGTTAGTGTGATACAGCTGTTCTGTGTTCTGATTAAAAGTTAAGACAGAGCGTCTTTTGTCTGTCGTTCTTCAAACATTACAGTAGACATATTTTGGTTTACAAACTGTATTGTTTCATCAGTTAGTCACATTAGCACTCGGCTAACGTACCCACCATTATTGTTTTAAGTGTTCACAGTTTAGCAGCTAAACTTTAACTGTGGGCACGATTCACTTGCATAAGTGTTTTTGTATTTTATGCCATTATTTTAAGAACGGATTGGAGCACTATATTATTGTTTTATGTAAAGGTGCTTTGTCAATGGCAGCACTCGCTAACTTGCTCAAGGACTCCTCTCTGTGCCAATCACAACAGGCTTGGCCAGCTGACCAATCAGAGCAGAGTAGGCTTATGGAAGGGAGGGGTTTGCTCCGAACTTGCTTGGAACTAATCGTTTCGAAATCATTGGCAAATGACTCTAATATTAAATGTATATTCTGAGAAAATTACAATGTTTTCTGACCTTAGATGCATTTAAACCTGTTGTAGGGGACTCCAACACAATATTAGGACACTTTAAAATACCATATGACCTGCTCTTTAAAAATCTATTTGTCAACATTTTTGTAAAGAAAATTAATATTGAAAGAAGACTCTTGTGCTCACCAAGGATGCATTTACTTGATCAAAAATACAGTTAAAAACATTAAGTCAAATAACCTTACAATTTAAAATAATTTTAATACACTTTAAACAATTTATTCCTGTAATGACTAGGCTGAACTAGGCTTTTCAGCACCATTATGCCAGTCTTCAGTGTCACATGATCCTTTAGAAATCATTATATGAGATGATTTGGTGCTCAAACTTTTTTTTATTACCATCAAAGATGAAAACAGTTGTGCTGCTTAATATTTTTATTTTTTAACTTAACTTGAAACTTTTTAGCATGGTAGTGTGTTTAACAATATACTACATATAACATCAAATATTTTGTAGTGAAATGAGTAACAAAATCATCTGGTTAAGCACAAATCTAATCCTTATTGTTGAGCCATGTAGGATGGTGGGATGTCGCTACAAACACATACAGACTGTTGAACAGTAGGGGGAATCACCTGTATGACCTGCTGTTGTAGTAGTCACGGTCATCATAGCGATCATATCCACGCTCATAGCCTCGTTCATAGTAATCACGGCGACGGCTAACACTCGGGCCTCCGCCACTGCACGCAAGAAAAATGATTTGAATTCAACATTGATCATTGAAATACACAACACTGATCAAGACCATTAACTATGAGATATTCAGTTATTAGCAGGCAAGTTTGTAAGGGCAGAGCCCCACCAAAATATTCACCCAAAACACAGAGCTATATATAAGCTGAATAAATAATAAACTGCAAATATGTTCAGGATTCTGCAACATTTTTTTTCGGATTTTCTTGCCAATTTTAAGTCAAAGTGCACAGGATATTCAAATTCATCGCAAGCTTTGGCAGGCGTGTAAAATTATGCTAGTGCAGCAGCCGTGCCGGTGTCCTCCCGAACTCAACAGCGCCCCACAAATTTTACAATGTAAATCTGTGGTGGACAGTGCAACTGCAGCACGCTTTATTTGAGAGCCATTTAAGCAGTTTTGAGATTGCCCCGCTTATTTTCACTTTACCCTATCTCGCTCCAGACCAGGACGATATCAGTCAGTTTCAGCTATGTGTCTGCATCAGGGGCCTATTTCATAAAACAAGTTTACCAAATAAGCCAGGTTTATTTCAGTTAGTCTGACGTATTGTCAGTTGATTTGGTTCAAAATAAGTCAGACTAACTGAAATAAGCCTGGCTTTATTTGGTAAGCTTGTTTTATGAAACAGGCCCCAGGTCAGAAACTAGCTGGCATGTGTTTTTCCTTTGTGGAGTAGTGTTCTAAATTAATTTAAAAGTGTTAATCCTTTAATTCAAATGTGCTCACGTGAAAAGCCTTTATATAGTTTGTGTTTGATTAATGTTTGTTTTGAGATGAGACATGATATTCGTTTCCTCACTTAAATTCCTCTACAGCTTGTAATATTCTAAATCAACATTCGGAGACAATATTAAGGCAATAATTCTGTGTGTGTGTAATTCGAGCCTGTCAATCAACATTAGCGTGCCACCCACAGGGTGAATTAGACTATAAAGACTAAGTTTTCTTGAGTTTATTATAAACTAGCACTACGACCCACCTAAATTTACTAATAATTTACTGGTTATCAGTGTTCATCATCTAGAACATTCAGATGAGTTATTTGAGTGTGTGATTAAACAGACTGCAAGGAATCGGACTCACTATGTTGGTCTGCCCATATATATTCCTGGAGTAGGTGTGTGGCGCCTCTTGGTAATCGAGTAGTCAACTCTGATTCTGCGGCCATCTAGTTCCATACCATTTGCACGCTCTTTAGCCTAAAACCAAAACAGACAAGAACAACCCATACTGAGCACACAACAATACTCTTTCTGCTGAAGGCCATTAATCCCAGGTACGTCTCTATTGCTGCCCATAAAATAGCTGTGAGAACAGTACATTCTGTACTGTACTTAAAAAAAAAAAATTAAAAAAAAATAAAAAAAAATAAAAAATTCAACTGTTGCCGACAAACAAGTGTTTTCAATTATGCAGCACACTACAATCAATACACAGAAATGTACAATTGACTAATTAAAGTGAAAATTTGGTGAACATTTACTCATTTTTAGGCTATCCAAGATGTAAATGAGTTCTTCAGCTGTCCATCAGAACAGATGTGGATAAATTTAGTTGTTCACCAATGGGTGCTGTTAGAATGAAAGTTCAAACAGCTTTTTTTTTACTGGAGAAAGCAATATTATGGACAGAGGACTCGTATTTTTGGGGTGAAATATTCCTTTAACCTTCTGAATCAAGCAATTGGAAAAACTATGTAAAATTGTCAATTAGTGATTTCAGCAAAGACAGAACATTCTCATTTCTTGTATGAAGAAAAACAACTTTTTGCTTTATGGAAATCCATACAAATGACAGCTGCAGTTCATTAACCAATCAGATTTTGCAGCTAAGTTGCATGTTACTATTCAGCTGGAAAAATTCACCTCTTTTGAATCTTCTCTGTTCTCAAAGTAGACAAAGGCAAAACCCCTGGAGCGTCGAGACTGCTGGTCATACACAATGCTGACATCACTCAGAGGGCCAAACTTGGAGAATACCTCCCTCAGGTCTCTCTCGGTAGTGTACAGGCTCAGGCCAAACACTCCCAGGCAGCTGTTTGGGTCTGGGTTTGCCTAAAGGTGAAGAAAACTTTACAGATTACAATATAGCACTACAAAAACACTGCATAGAACATCATGTATGGATCCGACTCCTTGTCATACCCGGTCTCCAACGTGACGTCTACGGTTGGACATAGGAGAATGACTATGACTGCGGTGGCGACGGTATTCACTGCTGTATGAGCGGCTGCGTGAACGTCTCCGGCGAGAATGAGAGCGTGAACAGGAACGACTGTAGTGTCGGCGAGAACTCCGATGGGAACGGGACCTGCAAAGGATAGAGTAAAATGAAAAAGAGCACCGTAAAAGGCAACAGACAAGAAGACTATCAACTTACCAAGTGATAAGTCCCATCTTCAACTTCTTAGACAGACAAGAACCTCCGGCTTCAATTTCATTATATATCAAGTTGCTACCAACGCATGTCAAATGATCAACTGCAGAGTGCTTAAAATCGTAGTCCTGGGTGGGTGAACATTTATTTTTTAATCTGGCCCAAACATCGTTTCTACTTTTAACCGGAAAGCAGCAGGTGTGACTTCCACTCTGCAGACTCCGTGTACTGCGAATTCCACTAGTAGCTGAGCCACGAGGCCATTTCAACAGTTTCAAATGACATGTAATTTTGGACTTAATCAAAAGCAACAACTGTTTCCCTATGCCCCCCCCCCCCCCAAAGAAAGAAAAACTTACAAATACAAGGATTCTTATTCCCCTTAATAACATACAATCCATTTCAGTCTTGTTTATGGTGAAACTGATCAAAATGAAGCCTTTTTTATTAAAACAAGTAAAGATATCTGCCAATGGGCTTGTAAATCTATTCTTGTTTCAAGCATATACTAAATTTTATTGAATATTTCTAGACTTAATTTTAAGACACACAGAAACCAAGTAATACAATTTTGTAATAATATAATACTTTGACTTATTTTCCTGTAAAGTACTTGGTGCTTATTGTAGTGCTTTTTTATTGTAAACAACTTTGAACTTCATTTCTTGTATTGAAGGTGCTATACAAATAAAGTTTATTATTATTATTATTAATAATTAAGAACAAGGTCAACCCTTGCTTTGCCATGCAGATGGTTTAACCTTAAAAACACTAGAAATACTCACCGAGTCTTGGACCTGGAGCGAGAGCGGGACTTCGAGCGAGAGTGGTGGGACCCCTCTTTCGACCGAGCGGGTGAGCGTTCCGGCGAGCGACTGGCTGACTTAGCAGATCCTCTAGGACTTGGGCTCCTAGAGGTCGAACGGGACTCCTAAACCAACCACATCCAAATCATGTAAGAGCCAGAAAACATGGTCAAACTGAGAATGTTTAACTAATTAATGTATGCATATAAATGAGTTTGAGACCATTCTAGACTAGGATAATATGCAGTGGCCTTTTCCCTGCAGGTACATGAACTAGTGTTAATAGTGTAAATTTACTTTGAAGCACTTACAACATAGGAATTTGTCGTTTTTTGACATGTAATGCATTATTACTTATGAAAATAACTACCTGTAAATCTGTCATGCTACAGGACAATAGTAACTATTGCAATACAAATGGACAACAGAAGATTTATGCATGCAGGCATGGGACAAACATACTAAGAGTTACTTAGCGCTGCGATCTTATCCCAGATAACTTCTGATCTTAACTTCATAACACATCTTTTCTTCTTTCTTCAGTTTCAATTTCATTTCTGACTTCATTCCTCTTCCCCCATTTCTCTCACTGCCCATAAATGCTATATGGGAACTTCTTTTGCTCTGAAAATTAGCATGCACTGAAAATTCAGCTTCAAATTATTTGCATTAACAACTTGACATTTGACTTCGTCCAGATTTCTCTTCTTCCAACCTTAACCTTAACAAAAAAGAAAAGGATGAAGAATGTATAAACACTGGACATCACAACCAATAATCCTATCGTTTTATTAGTGTGGGAAAAACATTATAGATGAACCAACAGAAATGAAAAGTGAGAAATCGATACTTTTAAAACGGTTCCGGTGTCTAAACCGATACTTAAAAAAATAAAAATAAAATAAAAAATTCCCAAAAAAAATGATGGATTGGCCATTACAATAGAAATAGAGTGCAAATGTTAGAGGGTCAAGTTTTTTTAATAAAAAAAAAAAAAAAAGGCAGATAAAATTAGAAGTAGCATTAGAATAGAGAGTGCTAGAGTTAGAGGGTCAAATGAAGATGAAAGAGATGTGTTTTCAGCCGTTTCTTGAAAATATTAAGGACTCAGCTGCTTGGATTGAGTTGGGCAGGTCATTCCACCAGGAGGGAACAGTTAATGTAGAAGTCCATGAAAGTTTTATCATAGGTAGAATGCAAAATGTTTCAATACAAGCATTTCAGTCAAATGTAATTTATGCAATATTTCAAACCTATAACCCACTTGGGAAAATCAACCCATGGCAATAGTTTAAAAGTAGCTCAATTCTGTGGAAACAAACGTGGACTTGGCAACCCTGCATCCAACAAGAGCTACCGGAGTCAGATTTGACTGATCACAGGTCGAGAATAAGGAGAGATGACTGACAAGACCATGCTGGAGTATCTTGTAAGATGT